AGTGGCCGCCGCAAACAAAGTTGAGTGACTGACGGAATGATTGACAGACGGACTGATTGACTGACTGACTGACTGCTGGACTGACCGCTCAGCTAAGATGCCTATGTGTGTGTGTGTGTGCGTGTGTGTGTGTTGGCTTTGATTATGTACACACACACCCCCAATCCCCTACCCCTGCTCACACACACGCCCATGACTTGCTTTCTTTAAGCGCGGCGTTATTTTTTCGGTTTCGGTTCCTTTTTATATTTTTTTGCAATTTGTTTGTATTACATGTCGCACAGTTGTTCGCCGGACAGAATGCAGGGCAGGGAGAGTGGCAGGGAGCGCGAGGGGGGGAGGGGGGGGTCAGCTGACAACTCGAATCCAGCTTCAAAGGCGGCGCCGATTGACATGCCACGCCCCGGCTGGCATGGGCTTTTTGGTATAATTGGAGCAGTTGCCGCTGTGCCGCAATTTGTGGGTGTTGACAAAAGTGTTTGCCACGCATGAAAGAAGAGCGGGGCGGCTGGCGGCGGGTTGGGGAGGGGTGCCTAAGCTAACTGTTGCCAGCAGACGGCATATTTGAGCAGCATGTTTCAAGCATGACTTCATCTTGACCTCGTCATGAGCAGACGCCAGCGGGCAGCGGCCCACACAAAACAAAAAAAATATATATGTAGATATATATTTGTGCGTGTGTGTGTGTGTGTGTGTGCTGCACAGACAGCTTGTCTGCTGCGACTGTGGCGTCGGCGCATTAAAAGCTATTTTTATTGATGAAGCATAGCAATAGCTGAGCAACATTGTTGCCAGCACTCTCTCAACAATGTTGCATTTGACTCGATTCGTCTGCGCTGCACTCGACACTCGGCGCGAGATGTTGCGGCAACATTGTTGCGTTAGCCGTGTGCCCACGATGACAATGACAAACGGCCCTGCAATTGATTCGCCGCGCGCAGCTTTAACTGTTGTTGTTGTTGTTGTTTTTGCTGCGCTCTATGTGTGTGGTCTTTTCCCATACTCAGTTGATAAAGTCACAAAGAGTATATTGGTACGCAACAGAAGCTTGACCGGCAGGTTTGCATAAAGTTCGCCTGCGATGAATGTTTGAATTGTTAAGCCACGCCTACAAGTAGGCGAACGATTTTACTTTTACTTTACTTTTCTTCCCAAAATTCCAGTTAGAATAACGATCATGCCCTGATTCAATTGTGAATTGCACTGCATACAGGGTATTTTGCAGTCGGATATAAGCTCTATTGGATCCACGCTCGCCATTTAAGCTTGAGTGCCTTTTCTAATTCACACTTTTTTTTTTTTGCTGTTGTTGTTGTTTTTGTTGCTTCGCCGGCGGCCCGCATGTGGCGACGTTTGCGTTTTTATGCGACCTGCGATAAAGAAGAAGAGCGCGCACTTGGACCACACACACGCATAGCTGAGTCTAGGAGTACATAGAGATCGCGGGCCCAAGTCCAGACATTGTCGGACGTGATGAATGAACAGCGGACAGGCAGTCAGTCATTGTCATTATCAACATCAACATGATCATCATCATCATTATCAACATTATCAACATTATCAACATCATAAGTTGGCTGTCCGCTCGGCTCGTCCGTTGTCAGCTTTGTGTGTGACTTTGTCGCCGCCGCTTGTCATCGTTAACATTGCCGTTGCCTTTGCCGTCGCCCGCTGTCAACGAATTCGCCGTCGCCGTCGCCTTCACCTCATGCGCCGCTTTTCATGGCGTTCGCTGAATTTGCAAATGAGCTTTGCTTGCAAAGCCCAGCGAGGCGACTGACAGTAGGCGGCATTTGCCGCCACCGCAGCCGTCGCTTTGGAATGTGTCGCAGCGTGCAGAGCGTGTAAAAGGCTAAAAAAGGCGAAAAAAAAAACCGCCACACGTGACTGGTCAAATGGCCGCAAAACAGCTACGTTTCCCGCTGCGGCTTCAACTCCAACTAACTGAGTTTATGTGTTGTTTTTTTCTTTTTTATTTTTTACCTGCCTCGTCAGGTAGACATCGCATCTATGCGCATAAACCATATTTAAGGCGGTCGGGTAAACACATTGCCAAAATCTTTAAACGATCTGGCTATAAAAACTGTGTGAACATATTTTTGCCATATACGTTTGTTTAAATTTCATGACGACGCTTTGATACTCTTCTAAAAGAGACTTCTAAAAGTAGTCCATATTTGTATTTCAATTATCGATTGTTTATGTCACATATCGATTGGCGTAGTCAATACTATCGATAAATTAAAAGAGTTGGCTATAAAAACTATGTTAACGAGTCGTTGATGCTCTTTTTAGATTTTATATCGAAAATATTCAATATTTGTTTTTTTTTAAATCTAAAATTTGTTTATATCTAACACCGATTAGCATACTATCGATACATCGATACTATCGATTGTTTTTAGTAATTTTAGACCGTTAAAGTTGAAAACATCGAAATTAAATATTACGAAAATAATATAGTAAATTTAAAGATATGTTTATCATATTGAAAACACGATCTGTTAAAAGCTTTTCTATATTTAACATATGTTAACTAACAGGCATTTCAGACAAGCTGACTATTTGATATACCCTACTGTGCGCCTGGGGCAAACAGGCAGAGTTTATTTGGTTTGCTCCGCATTCCTAGCCTTAAGGGGGCGGCGCGGCAAAAGGGGGGCAATGGCAACGCCCGCTTCTAATGACAGTAACACCCCTTTCCCCTCCACCCATCAAACTACCTTAAAAGTCTGGCGTCTGGATTTTGGGTTTTGGATTTTTGAATTCAAAAATTTGCTTAGATGTTGCCTTTGTTGGTAGCGGGATACAGTGGCGGGGTACGGTAAGGGGAGGGGGAAGGGGAAGGGGCATTACGTAGCTATTTCCCGGAATTGTTTGTCTTTTGTTGTCGTCGCGTCTGGAGCGGCATTTGCGGCTTTGTGTTGTTTGGATGCCGTTGTGAATTGAATTTCTTGGCGCGCTGCTGGCACAGCAAAAAAACGAAAACAAACAAGAAGAAGCAGAACAGATCATAACAACAATCCAACAACAACAACAACGACAACCACAATAATAGTAATAATAATAATAGCGACAAAAACAATGCCAAATGGCCACGCACAAAGACGCGCATCTTCCAGGAATCGGAGTACAGACACAGCTCATTCATTCATTGAGCTCCGAATCTCGATTGAATTACAGCGCCAGGTTTCCTGGCTCCAGGACAAGCAGGGGGCAGCGGACTGAGCGTAGAGGGTAGGAAGTCGCCAAGGGCTGCGTTTCGCAGAACGAGGATCTAACAGAACAACAATTCGCAGAACTGGGTCGCCTTTGCTAAGGGAATCGCAGCAACTGGCCAACTTGGCAACTGGTTGTTGACCCAATTCGTTGCCAGAAGCCGCAAGGGAGCCACCCCCCCCCCCCCCCGCCCTTCACCGCGCCGTATGGTCCATAAATTACACAACCTCAAAGCCCACAAATGTCACATCGGCGTGTGGGTCATTTGATGTCTGCAACAATTTTTTTTTTGTATAAATTTAGAAAATGAAAACGAAAGAAGGAGAATAAACTGCAGCCACAAAAAATATCAGACAGCAGATCTTATGATATATGCATTCGAATAAAATCTAAAAACGGGCATTACATATCTTTTTTATGCCCTTGCAGAGGGTATTTTAGTTTTGGGAAGTGTCGACGTTTTCGGAAGTAAGCCGGTTCGAATCCGTATATAACCATAAGAAACAATAGCTCGAGAATTAAGTTCTTGCTTGTGAGATTCTTGGCACTTTAAATAATAACTATAATAATAATAATAATAATAATAATAATTAAAACATAATAATAATAATAATAATTAAAACATAATAATAATAATAATAATAATAATGATAATAATAATAATAATAATACTAATAATAATGATAATAGTAATAATAATATACTGATGAATTAGTAATGATTAAATTTGTGATTATTCATTAGCTTTTTATATTATCGAATTTAAGCAAAATATTGTTAACGATCCGATAAATATATCGTAATAACTCTCACATAGGGTATCTCTTAGTCACCCAACTATCGTTAGCACTCCAAGCCATATTTCTTTTTTTGCCTTTTCCAATCGTAAATCCGAAATGAAGTGTGTCAAAAAAGATGAAAAAAAAAAAACCAAATGCAGGCACGCAGCAGAGGCCCGAGTTCAGGGAACACCTCTGCAAAGTGTCCACAAAATATGTTTGTTGAAATCGAAATTTAGTTTTTAGATTTGTGCGTGTTTTATTTTTTCAAATTTTATTTATTTGTGTTTTTTGTTGTTGTCCGAATCTATGCTTAACAGCCTCCCACATGGCCAGACGATGGTATAAAAAAAAAAGAAGTAAAAAATAAACCCGTCTGGCCAAAAATAAATGTGAACCAGAACCGAATGTCTCTGAATGCTGTTTGCCCCATTTGGTTGTGTCTTCATTTCTGGCTAATGAATTTATTATTTACGAACCGAATCGCGCAGTTCGTAGTGACAAGTTGGCATCTCATTAGAGCCAATTTGGCCGAGAGACAAAACACATAGCATAATATCTGAAAGGCCACGCCACGCCCTCTACTGAAAGTTAACTGACCATAAAGTTATCTGTTCATTTTTTTTCTCGCTTATTCTTCTGCAATTTCTTGGCCCATAAACAAAGCGTTTATAGCCACATTCTCGACTTGAGAACTCTTGTGATGATCTACAGTCGGGCAGTTAACTAAAATTTATCTTCTTTATTTAGTTTTATTTCTGACGTCAGTTTATGTTAATTTCGGGCTACCAAATTGTCGAGTTCTCTAGTACTACGAAACCTGTTAATATCGGTAGCTCGTCTGTTTTTATAGGTCTATAAAAATCTCAAATGAACTTCAGCTCTTAAACACTTTGCAAATTAATAACAATTTGTGATAAGCTAACTTTATGTAATTAAATTTATATCAAATGAAAACAGGAATTTACTTTTTTACGTGAATATAAAAACGTGGAGACTTACCCCAATTTGAATGAATTTAACAATTATCTGAAAATAATAAAAAAAAAATGTTATTAAAAACTTGAAATGCCAACATAAAAATATTCAAATTTCTTTTTAAATATTCCCAAATAATCTCATTATATATAAAATGATTAGTTTGAAAACTTTATTTTCTATAATATATATCATATATATAAAACATCTAATTTATGAGGTAGACCTCTAACATCTCGAATATCATATAGATATATGAATATATATAATTTTTTGCAATATAAATAATCTATTCTTTAAGCATTAAGATCTCAAACGTCTGCTGATCTCTAGAGAGCAGCTAATGCAATAAAAGTTTCGAATATACGTAATATTCAAAAGCCCATGACGAGCTTGCGATCAGATCGGAGTTGTCTGTAGGTGTTAATGATAGATATGCAAGTCAGCCCATGCCTGGCTGAGTCTTTTGAAGTTGTCGCAATGCGTGAAGTTGGGCGCATCAGGTGCCGGCAGATGATTAACGGGAAAAGCAAAGCTAAACACACACACACACACACACACACATAATAAGGGGGCGGTGCAACAGTGAAAGGGAGGGGCGGCGAGTTAAAGGGCAGCGACGAGACGCCAACGCAGACAACGCAGCAGCTGCAGAGGGGACCGAGAGAGAGAGAGAGAGAGAGGGAGCGAGCGAGAGGGAAGAGACAAATGCAATGCAACATAAATAAGCGCAAGGCAATGAGAAAAAAATATAGAAAAAAAATAAACAAAAAGAAAATAAAACAAAAAATTGTCTTTTATGATGTTGTGCGCAATTTTTTCCTGCTTTTTTTTTCTGCCTTTTTTTGCGTTTTTTCTGTTTTCCAGTTGAAGTTAAAGTTGGAGTCGGTTTCCTGCGCTGGGCCAAAGGGGCGGGCAGGCGGGCGCTGTAGGCACTTAAAGGTGCAGCGCGTGTGCCGACGCACAAGCGAAAGGGCCGCACAATGGCGGGAGAGAGGAACGAGAGAGAGGAGAGAGAGGGAAAAAGAGAGAGGGGGAACAGAGAGCGAAGTTTCAGGTAGAGTAAAATAAGCGGAAAGCACAAAACACAATGTTGTGCAAAGAACGTTGAACTCGAACTCACCTCGAGAGTGGAGTACAGAACTAAAGTGGAGTGAGAATTGCGAATTGAGAGAAGGAAGAAGAAGAACAGATGAGTGTGTGAGAGAGTGTTAGACTGTGTGTGCAGCACACTCAGAGAAAAGCACAGCTATAAAGATTCTCAATAGGACTTTTCATATTTCTGAATCATTGCATTTGATAAAAATATTAAATTATGCATAAAATACTTATTATAAGAAAAGACAAACATAAACAAGACTTACATTCTTCAATTTGGAAGCTCGCTCTGGTCTTTTGATAAAGTTCATTAAAGTCTTGTATTTGCCAGTTTAGTTTATTGAAACAAGAATTTCAGTCTCAATTTAAGAATTTTATAAACGTATTTCGAACACTTTTGTATTGGATTTGAGCACAAAGCACTTGCCATTTTCTCTCAGTGCACGTATGAATTTTCATAATTTTTCATTTTCACGCACTGCTGGGACATTTGAAAAACTCTGCTGCAGATTTGTTGCCCCACAACCAATGCACTTGGCTCTTGTTGCATGTTGTTGCTGTTGTTGTTGTTGCCCCAAGCATATTGCACTTAGCGTAATTAGGGGGCGAAAGATGCAAGGAAACGAACTGGAAATCAAACATCGCCCCAGCAACAGTTTGACAATCAGTTTTAGCCAACAGAACGAGTGAAATTCTCTCAAATAAATTCACGCACAGAACACAGACACACACAGATGCTGATAGGCTGATAGACAGACAGAAACCGTTGGCTCGGCCTGTCATAACTTGAGGATAATGCGGCCTGAAACCATTTTGTTGTAATTGGCATAAGAGTCTCTAATTCCAAATGCATTTATTATTTCGACATGACCAACACTGCAGTTGCAGTTGCAGTTGCAGCTGAAGCTGGAGTCCCGAGTCGCGCATCCCGAGTTCCAAATCCCAGTTCCGCTGACACGCAAAGCAGCTTCGCCTGCCTGCTTTAAGCCATGGCTAAGAGCTGTGGCAAAAAAATACTTTAAAATAACTCGTTTTTTTGCGCCTGGACCATTTTTCATACCCTCAATTACAAAATGGAAAGTGTAGCTTAAAATTATGCTCCGATTGGAGATGGGTGTGTATAACAAGTATCTATCGATAGTATCGATAATGTTATCGATTTCTTTGATTTCAGAGAAATTGAAAAACTAATATATGCACTTCTGCTCTTTTACTACATTGTATATGTTTTTATAAAGTAGCTGAAAGTCGAATGAGAAGCCTACTCCAAACATATAACTATCGATATTATCGGAAATATTGTCGTTATGATCATATAAAGGTTAATATATGGTAATATATATTAACACATATTTACGCTTGCTTGGTTTGAAAATAGAAGAATGAGAACACATATTTATCGATAATGTTATCGATATGACCATATAAAGATAAACATATACATTTATAATTATCTATAATATTATTGCTTTTCTGTGCTTGTATCTATGAAGAGGCTGCATATCGAATGCGAACATATGTCTATCGATAATGTTATCGATAACCATAAAAACCTGTTTATGTGCATTTTAATGGGCCTCTAGTTTCTCAAGCATTTTAAGTTAAAGTTTGTGCCCCGAACTTCACGATCACGACTCGCTTTTCGCACATATTTCTGAACCAAGTTCCCATAAGGTATTTCGTCTGTTTTGTTGCATATTGGGGCTGGGTATGTTTCAGTCGTGCATTTGCCACAAATCAATTGCAACTTGTTGTATGTTTCTGATTTCTTTTCCTTCTTTTCCTTTTTTTTTTTTTGTTAATCATGTCGGACTGCGTCTTTGCGAGTTTGTCTTGACCATTTTACATTCGTTCGGTTTTATTTGTGTTCTGTTGTTTTTTGTATTTGTTGTTTTTGTGTTTTGTGAATTTCGCTTTGATTTTGTCGAGGACGTTGCCTGAAAACCAGCTCCAACCAGCCGCTGAATCTGGTTTGCCTTGGAGCAGACGGTCGCCGTTCGGTTGGCAGCAAGACATCTGCATCGGCATCTGAATCGGCATCGGCATCGGCATTGGCATCGGCATTTCAAGGTCTGACTCAGCCGGCAACAAGGAAGGAAACATTGCGCCCTTCCACAGGCCCGGTCTGTGGCAGCAACCGAGCCGCATTCCAGTTATGGCCTGGCCTCTGCGCCGCAGACACACCTAGTTTCGGACGCTCTTTCTTCGGTTGTTCTGTTTTTTTTTTTTTGGGCACGGCTTTGCAGCCTGTCTTCGGGCCAGCGTCTGACCCAGCTGCTGGCGAGCTATTGAACTCTTTGCGCAATGCACGCGTCGCTGACCCCTCCGTAACAGTTGTTAATCACACATGGCTTGGCCCAGGCACATATCAAATATCAGTTATCTCTCCCCTCCCCGCCCCCTCCCCAACCGGCCGTTCCCCTCGGCCGCTTTGGTCACTTCAAAGGCGGCCGCCACGTTTGACATAACAAGCAAAAAGTCAACGGCAACAAAGGCGAAATAATTTAGTTTGATTTAACCCTGCGAGTGCACTAAATGCAACAGCCCCCCTCCTCCCACCACCAGTCACCACCCCCTCGGCACCTGCAACTAAACTCTTTGGCTTTGGCGCACTTGGCTCGTTTTTTCAAGTCAAGTATTTAAATTATAAACGGGGCAGCACATCAAAGCGTTGACCCGACCTCTACGCCCTCCACCTACCGCTCCCCTTGGCAGGCTTAAATTACGCGCTAGGCTAAAAAAAGAAGAAGAAAACAACAACAGCAGCAGCAATCAGTTGAAGAAGAACAAGAAGCAGCTGAACAAAAAGCCACTTGGGCGAGCTTGCTGCTCAGCGGATGGGATGGGAGGGTAGGGGGTGACCAAGAAGGGGGGGGGGGGGGGGGGCGCAAGGTTTGAGAGTCCTTTGTTGTGGCACCGAAAAAGGTTTCAATTACTTGGGCTGCAACTAAAAACAAAAGCCGACGGCGTTTAACTGCGAACAGCTGGCGCCGCAACGACGGGCTGCAGTCGAGCAGGGGATCGAGCAGGGGCTGGGAGTGTAGGGGGGCGTGGCAGCTTTTATGCGCTTCACGCATTGCGAATTCTATTGAGCATTTCAGCTTTGGGCGCCACTCATACGCCAATGGACATTAAAAATTATTGTAATTATGCACACGAAGAAGGTGCCACAAAAATGCAGCGCCTGCACCGCCCCCCACCGCCCCCCTCCTTGCCTCCGCCGCCGCATTGCTGGCACTGACCCGGCGAGCGTCTGGCATGCGGCGCATTCGCTGCATTTTATGGTCGCAAAGTCCAAAAAAAAAAAAATTATTCTCAAATCCAAATTGGCATTCAATGCGATGAAAATCAAATGCGTTGCAAGCTCTGCCGACAGCCTGCTGCCTCTTGCCGCTTGCCGCTTGCCCCATGCCCCTTGAAGTCGGGCGGCTGGCAGCATTTTCTATGCCATGCCCCATTTGACGCACGAAATGCCGCGCACACAAGTGCGCCGCATAACTCATACGCAGCGTGTGACGGGCCAACAATCATGAGCAGGGGCAAGGGTTGGGCGGGGGGAATAGCTGAAAATCAGCTCAGCGAAATTGTGAACTATGAAAAGTATGTGCAGAAATTAAACTTAATTTTTAATGTATCTAAAAAAAGAGCTGCACTAGAGTGAATTTCGAGAAAGTAGGCACATTTACGGCTAACCGAAGTTTTTAAAACCCAACATTCGACAAATCTATCCTATTGCAGCTACATTATATATATTGGTCCGATTTTAAAAAGATTTTTCATATAGTAAAGCTTATTAAGAGAATGTTGAGTAAACTTGAAGGTGCAATTTATGCGAGATCAAAAATACGTCTTTAAAAAAACAAAAAAAAAGGTTTAGCAAAATGACAATTAAATGGAATTAAGAAATGTAAATGATCTTACAATTTGGTTTAGTTCAAACAATTTGGTGAGAGATATAAAATTAAAGTTACTTTTTTTTAAATAATAATTGCGTTAAAAGTCTTGTGGCAACAATAATTGTTGAAAGTTTCATCTACAAACAATTTTCCTTAATGTTAAAAAACGATCTTTAAACAATTTAAAGGTGAACTTAAATGCACTTTGACTATGTCTCTAAGCCAAAAATCCAGCTATTCCAAGCAACCCCATTGGGTAATTTCCTTCTTCTTTTTTTATCAACTTCAATTAGTTTTATTTTGCGCTGAAATCGATCAATGAGGCAAAAAGGTATATCAACAAACATATCATACAAGTTGATATTCACATAGGGGAATATTGACAATGAAGGGTCAGAAGTCGCAACCTCTGGAGGCAAATCTCTCTCAGCTGGGGGGAATAGCTCTCTCTGAGCTCTGAAAACAATTTAATAAAACGAAATTCAATATTTCAAAGAGTTGCAAACCGTTTCGTTCGATAAATTTGCTGCATTTAATCAAAAGATGCCAAATGGGATTACAAACTGTCCGTTTAGTCACGACATTTGTCACGTGCCAATCGCTCCATCAAAATGCTGAGCACTTAGTGTAAGCTCTCCCCCTCATCCACCCTCTCTTTTGGCTGGCGGGGCAACAACAGAAAACGTTGCAATATTTTGGGCCATATTTCAACTGGCTGCATTTGGCTTTAGGCTGTGCAACTACCGTTTGGGACTAGCTGCCTGCCTGGCTCTGACTGTTCGTCCGTCCGTCCGTCTGTCTGTCTATCCGTTTGTCCGACTGGCTGGCTGGGCCATGCTGCACCGCCTCCCACAGTCAATCAACGGGCCAGTCTCGCAGTCTGTGGCGCATCTTTGCCGCGAGCACATTTGGCTACTGCAGTTGCAGTTGCAGTTGCAGTCGCAGTCGCAGTTACTGCAGCAGCAGCAGCAGTTGTCAGTTGAAGCTGCAATCGCGGCAACGTGGCAATTAACTCTTTGATGGATTTACTGCGCCGCGGCTGCTGCCTGTGACTATTAAAAATGGCCACGAAATGCGTTTTTGAATGCAACAGCAGTAGAAGCAGCAGCAGCAGCAGCAGTAGAACTGGCAGCAGCAGTAACTGCGTTTTGTATGCGCGACTCCACAATTATAAAATAACCATCATTTATAATGTTTCTCGGCGCAGACGTCGCGACTTCTCAATGCGAGCGGAAATGCAGCGACTGCAACGCCAACTGCAACTGCGACGCCAACTGCGACTGCGACTGCAACTGCGTGCGGATTTGAAATATGCTGCAGACATTTAGCGGCGCTTTTGGGCTGCGTTCGCTGAACCGCAGGAAGACGGCGCCGCCGCCGCCGCCACCGCCGAATGTGGCCGCGGCTGTTTTTCCGAGTCAGAGAAGCGTTTCAAATTACAGACACCAAATAAGCCGACGCTGCTGCCCCCACCAGCCACCTGCCACGCCCCTACCTCCCTGCGCTCAACATTTTGGCTTAGCCGCCAACGCCGCGCCGACAATAAAATGCGTGGCAAAATGCAATTGAGAAATTAATTTCACCCATTCAGACATTCGCATTTGCGCTATAATTAAAACTAATTTGTGTATGCGAGGGGCAACAACAACAATTGCAACAGCAACTGCAACTGCAACAACAACATTTGCAACAAACGCCCCAAACAGACACTTGGCTTTGTGCTGCTACGTTGCGCGCACACACACACACACACACACATGCTTCATGTGTGTGCCTCAGCCCATGACACACACACTTACATAAAATACACACACACACACTTAAAGTACACACTCAAAGAACACACAGAACCCAAAAGTTATGTCATAAAAACAACAAGAAAGAAACATTATCTTCGGCAAGTCGAAGTTTCAATACCCTAACAAATATATAGCCTAGAATTGTAAGAGTCAACTGAGCAACATGCTGAAGATCGTTAATGCCAAGTTTGGTCAAAAGTTCTTGAGAAACGAAACAGTTTTTGGGCCAGTTCTTACTAGAGAACTTGGTGATATACCTAGTAGAATTAAAACATCTTGAAAAATAAAATAGTTGTAAATGACAAATTTGGTTGGGAGGTTTTCATTAATTACCTCACTTTCCTATGCACAGGAAGCCTTGCTAAAGTAAAAGTTGAGTTTGCTTAAGAGTTCTTGAAAAACAAGAAAGTCTTTCAAGCAAAAACTAATTGTTTGACCGATTCTTCCTATTGAGCTATATTATATTATAGTTAGACTCGAAAAGGCCAATCGTCAAAAGTTTTTAAAGCAAAAGCTCACACTCTGATCGATTGTTCCTGGAAAACCTTTGATATAATCGTTCTCTGCTGCGAAGATCCAGCTTAAGTTTAAGAAAAATCGTTCAAGAGTTGAGAAAGAAAACCGATCCCTCTTATTGCAGCTAGGGGACTAGAAAACTAGGGAACTAGGGAAACGAAGACCTCTCTACTAGCCCGCGTTACATACTTAATGACAAAAGTATCATACCCTCTACCCTCGAGTAGAAGAAAAACCAGCAAGAAAATTGAGCATGGCAAGTGCAATGCGATAAAAACTTAAATTGAGCTCTTTTGTTGCCTTGAGCCATGGCTTAAAGAACTTCCACGTACTTAATGGAGCTTAAAAACACAACACAAAATGTTATTGAGCAGGAATTATGAACTATTTAATTCATTAAATGGGTTTACAGACCTTTTGAAATGATATACGCGATGGGCCGATAGAAACAACAGAGCCTGAGCATAATTAACTGAAAAACAAACAAGAGTTTTTTATTAGAAAATTTGAAAGTATTTTATCAACTTGGCTATATAATTAGCCTCAGCTATAAGGTAACAGAGATCATCTCGATAGTTGTTTGCTTATTTTTCAAATTATAGTTTTACAAAAAGAATTGTCGATAATTTTTCTCATCTAAGTGCCGATAGTTATCGACAGTGTTGTAATAAGAGTTTATTACATGGTATGAAAATATCGATAATTGCCATAAAATTATTATCGACATCCTTACAAAATCAGTAAGATCGATAGCTATTTTGTAGCAACTATCGATTAATGTAAATAGTATTATGAAAAGTTAAATTTAATTGATATTTGCTTACAAATATCGACAATTCTCATAGGTATTCTGATAAGTTTCCAAAGTCATCGATATTTCTGTACTAAGTGCCGATTATTATCGATTGCTCATGATATATTATCGATATATTGATTGACATCTTGATAATCGATCAAATTGATAGACCCTATCGCTAGTTTGCCATCTGCTTAAATAGATATTTTAAAATAATATAATTGAATACCCGATAAAATGCTGTTCAATAACATGCTGAAAGGCACGCCTGGGCAAAAGCCTAGCCTAGCAATAAATGTGGATACATGTGTATACAAGTCCAACTCGAACTGATATGCTTGAGAATCTGAAGAGGAGCCACTCGAAACGCAGTGAAACCCAATTAAAAAGATTAAAAAAGAATATAAAAAAAATAGGAGCCGCAACTGAATAACGTGAAACCAAAAATCATGCCTCAAATTGCGGCAACAGAAACTCGTGTAGTTCGAGGGGTTGAAGGGGCAGCGAACTGCTGCTCTACTGAGCCGTGCTAATGAGCGCCAGGATAGTCCAGGATACTTCTGGATGGGCTCCCAATGGGCGTAGGAGACGCAGGAGACGCAGCTCGACTCCATTTCAGTCAGGCAGCAAATGAAGTGCCAGAAATGTGAAGCGAAATTGCATAAACCACTCGACAGTCGGCAGAGAAATCAACTCGAGTGCGGGGGCGGGCAGCAGAATGGCGAGGCAGGTAAGGGGGTGGGGGTAGGGAATGGGGCAAGTACTAAAAAAGTAAAACATGAAAATTTTTCCTGTATTTTTGTTGTATTTTTTAATGCAGCTGAGTTCATTAACATCAGCTTGGGAGCAAATGCAAAAAAAAAAAACAAGATGAGGAAAAAAAATGCAGGTGCCAGTGGCTGCAAAACTGTGGCCTGTGCGCCTGCAGCTAGGCTGGGGGCGGGCGGCTGTCGGGCGTGGCAGGGGTTGCTGCCATATCTACCCCAAGCGCTGGCAAATCTAAATGACTTGATTCCTTTTTTCTTTTTTTTTTTATACATATTTGTTTTATTTTTCTTCATTTTTTTTTTGTTAATAATATTTTTATTTTTGCATGTGCTTCTTCTTGCCGCGGCACTCGAGCGAAAACTTTCATTTGAAATCCCGCAAGGATACAGCACGAAAAATGCGGCAGAAAATCAGAAGTGGCAAAAGCGAAAAAAAGGGATTGCAAGCAGTGTAAATACACAAAAGAAAATGCTTGCTCGGCATAAATTCAACCAGAAATACCCCGTAATTTGCTATAAAGTTCAATAACTCGAATATTATTTGAGCGCTTGCTCTGATATTTTGGGCAAAGCTAGAAATGGAGTTAAGGCTGATATAAAACAAATTTCAGGACAATATCCTGGTGAATTATAGTAGAACATGTCAGAAAAGTAAGAGCATAAAGCTGTTTGTGATAAACGAACAGGGCTTCAAATTTCTACAGCTGCAGCAAGTCTTGACAGCCCGCACACTTTTGTGCAATTACAGGGTATGCACGTTTGCTTTTTTTCTGGCTTTTCATTTGTATATACATATATATATATATATATATGTGTGTGTGTGTGTTTACGCGCATTTTGCAAGCCACAATGCCGCTTGAAGTGATGGGCGTTATGGGTTGCGGGTGGGCGTGACCGTGCATAGGATTTGACTTTAAATGCCAGCAAATTGCATGCGCCGGGCAAAAATTTAATTAGACAAACTGAGCGGCAGGAAAATCATGAGGGAAATAAAATAGCAAAAGTTGCGGTTAAAGGATTTTCATCTGTGCTGCATGCGGCATACGGCATGCGGCATGCGGCCTGTTGTGGCATGTGGCATGAAGATAAGGAGCTGCTGAAAGCCGAGGGATATTGTGAAGTGCAGCATTGTGCATGTCGTTTCAAGGGTAAGCAGCAAGCGGTGGGAGGAAGGGGTGGGAGAGGAGGGGTAGCAGCAAATGGAAGCTGTTTTGGAGTTTTTCTAGCTATTGTTCGTGCCGCCGCTGAGAGGGCAGAGCCAAGGCAAACAAGGGGCATATTAATTGCATTGCACACTTTTGGGGCACCAACTTGGCGAGACCCGACGCCCGACGCCCAGCACCCACTAAGCGCCCACCATTGTGTTACCCTATTATTAATGAATTAAACTTGACTTTCGGTTCGTTGCACGCCGCAGCAGCAACAAAACGAACAACAGGAGACATTTGCGGAGCTTAGACGAAGTTAATAATACCCTGCGGATAAAGGATTGTATCTATTTTTATGCATATGCATAAAACCAAAGATTTTTCCATTAAAAATTAATTTTGAATTAACTTAAAGGCTAGAAATTCATTTAAAGCTATTTTTGAAACAGCTGCGCTTATAATTCCCAACTCGTTTAAGCAGGGCAAATATTAATCTCAACGTTTTAAACCTAGAATTTAAATTTCCTAACTTATCATCTTATGATTAATAAACTCTAGCATATCTCGCAAGGGGGCAGCCATGGGCGTGGGTTTGTCATTTAGGGGGGATAGATGTTGCTGCCACATGCAGAAATTTTGCTTTTATGTTTTTTTTCTTCATAATTTTATTTTTTTTTTGGCATCGCCTGCAAGAGAACGGGAGCAGCAGCTGCGTTGGTTTTCTTATTTGATTTGGGTTTGCTGTGCTGTGCCTGCGGGACTTTATATTGCGACATCAGGTTCAATGACACTGCGCTTCGTGCCATTAAATAAAATGCCAGTTGTTGGCTTACAATGTGGCAACAACAACAACTTGCCACAGTCACGCCCCAAACGGCAACCCGCAGCTTTGCTTTTGGGTTGAGATTTTCCAACAGGCACCCACGTCTCCTTCTTCTTTCTCTAATACCCTCCTCGGTCCCGCCCTAATTAAGCCAAGTCACAATTAAGATGCCTGAAAGCCCACATGCTTGTGGCCAGGCGGCAATTGTGCTTTTCGGCCAGGCTCTAAAAATGCCTGCCGATCAGCTGGCTCATAAAGTTTTAGATGCCACATAGTGCACCGCCTCCCCGCCCCCCGGCCCCCACTGCCCGCCGTAACGCTCGTCTGTGCCCATCTTTGGACATGGCTGTTGCCGTTGCGACTGCGCAAATAAATCCCAGACTCTAAAGAAGGACACACGGTTTGAACATTTTCATAAATCGCCGCCAGCGAACCGTTCGCTTTATCGCATTTTTGTGCAAAGTTTTCAATTCTAACTGTACCTCAGCTGTTGCAGAGCTGGGAGCTGGGAGCTGGGAGCTGCCCCCACCTGAGTATCGGGTCAACTGATCCAACTGTGCGTCGCGTTAGTCGAACAATGCATGCTAAATGCCAAAACGTACAAAACAAATAGAAAGAGACTAGCATGCGTGATCTAGTCGAACGTGCTCGACGGGCAGATACCCTTCTTTTTGCTTAAAAACAAAAGTCTTCAGTAACTTGCGGATTTCTGTTATAGTTGTAATGAAATGTTCAGGGCTTAAAGATAACAAATAATCGATAATTATCGGTTATCGGTTTAATGAAAATGAGCATCAATAGATAAGCATTAATTTGTTCAGCCTAAGGAATAATCTATAATTGTGGGTTTTATAAAAATGAAATAATGAGAACCTTGTCGCGATATATTTTAAAAATTGATTTGTTCACAAAAGGGGATAAGATTTTCCAACAAAACAACAATCGATAATTATCGGTTTTGTGCAGATGACCACAAATGGATTATGCATATATAATTTATCGGAATTGTTAATACTTTCTACCGACTGTTACATACATTTGTGAGAGTTCATATACCCGTTTGCGATTAAGCAGAGGGCATTAGAGACACCTTCAAACGCGGCTTCTAGGCATTCAGTTCTCTGGTCTCCAGTGCGTATCAAACTGACAGTTTGATAAACATTGTAAGAGCTCTTGAGATGCGGCTCTCTCCTCCCTCTCTCCCCACTCTTTCTCTCGCTCTTTCTCTCTCGTCCCTCACTGTCGCTCGTTCTCTTAATGTCTGTCAGTCAAGTGTTTCTCACATATTCTGACAACTTTGACTTGGTCAAAACTCAAGAATCTATTGCATATATATGCATATGGATACACCCCTCCCCTGCACAATCGAACCCCCCGCCCCTCCCCCCTATGTCGGTCAGGCTCTCAGTTCAACTGACGTCTCGGCCTGTTTAACTTTTTGCCCTCGAGTAGAGGGCGTGGCATGCAGGTATTTTGTTTTCACATGCGCTTGCATAGTTCTTACTTTTCTCCGCAGACCCCTCCCTCCCCCCACCCCCTCGCGCATTGCACAGCCCTCCCTCTGTTTCTCAGTTGGTTTCTCTAATTTTTATGCTGTGGTTAAACTTTTTAATTTAAATGACATGAGTTGGCCGAGGCACCGTTGCCACAGTTGGCGACGCCCATGCCGCATTTGATGGGCAGTGGGCGTGGCCAGTTGGCTGCAACATGCTTGATCTCTATGCCAAACGCCCCAAAGTTTTGCATTGGCCCAGGCCAAGAACAACAACTATATCGAAGCTATCAAAGTCTGTGGCCAGCCTGGCAAACGGGCAATTTACCGTTCAACTCGCCCGCCCCTCCTCCCTACCCCACCCTCCTCTCTCACTGCCTCTCTCCGGCTGACACTGCAAAGCAAATCATAAATTTTGCTGGCCCAATTGACTGGGCCAATTATGC